GTGTGCGGGTGCAGCTGCTCTGCCGGGATAAAAGTAAACGCTGTTTTAAACGTTTCCTAGAGGGCCACGGTGGGCCACGCCCGTGGAAGTGCTTCCCCTGGAGCAGACCCCGCCCCCTGGTCTGTGCGCCCTGTGCCGCCCTGCCCCCAGGTGACATGTAAATTTACTTTTTAAATATACTTTATTGATTTTTACAGAGAGGAAGGGAGAGGGACAGAGAGAAACATCCATCAGCTGCCTCCTGCACACCCCCCTACTGGGGATGTGCCTGCAACCAAGGTCCATGCCCCTGACCGGAATCGAACCCGGGGCCCTTCAGTCCACAGACCGACGCTCTATCCACTGAGCCACACCAACAGTCCCCCCCTCTCTCCCCCCCGTCATTACAAGGAGAAGCAGGAGCAGCTGCCCCGCGGGAGGCACCTCCTAAGGTCTCCTGGTGAGCACACCCTCATCCCTCACCTCCGGAGGCTCATCGGGAGCACACGGAGGGTCAGAGCAAACCGCTGTCACCCACAACAGCGAGGCTCCAGTCACGGGGGCCCAGATGGTCACACACAGGAAGGCCGCGGGCGGTCACCCGTGGGGGAGGCTGCGACTGTCACACCCCTCGGTACGCAGCTCGCACAGAAGCAGCAAAAAGGCGTGGATACCGGAGGAGAGGCGCCCGGGCCTGCGGCAGGCGGGGGCGGGCGTGCCCACACACGGTCACTTCGGGGGGGGGGGGGCGCGTCACGTGCTGGTGGGTGACACTGACATGTGTCAGCAGCCTTTTCCTTTCTGCTCACCCACGTGTCTGACCCTGTAGGTCTGCTTTCTGAGAGGGGATCTGCCGGTCCAGTGGGTTCAACTGTCTGTCCTCCCCGGCTCCCCGGCTGCCAGGGCCCCCGCCTGGGCAGGCCACGTGGGCCGGCTGCTGTGAGCAGGGTCGTCTTCGGGGCAATGGCGTCAGGGTCCTGGGTCACCGCCAGGGGCACAGCCACCGGCCAGCTCGCCAGTGTCATCCCAGCGGGGTGGCTCGGGGGGCAGCCGGCTCCTGGCGCTGCCTAAACGTACCCCTCCCTGCAGCTTCTGCTGCCCCACGCCCACACGCCCCGCACAGGCCCTGCCCCCGCTGGGCGAAAGACGGCTAACGGCCTGCACTCCACCTTGGGGCCAGTCACAGGCAGGGTAACGGCAGATCCTCCTCCGTCTGCCCGTCCCCTCGGGTGTGCTTCATCCACGTGGTTCGGTGTGCTGATGGGACCCATCATTTGTTCCCACCTCCTGGAGTCTCAGATCTGACGTTTCTAGACTTTTCTAAAAAGCCAGGCGTTCAGACGTCCTAAATGCCGGACAGGCGCTCCCTCTAACCCCCCTCGGCGGTACGGCTGACCACGTGACCAACGCACAGCCTCTGAGACGTGTCGGCGTGTGGATGGCATGGCGACCCAGCCAGGCCGCCGGCGGACGCTCACCGGCACCGCCTGGTGTCCTCCCCGCGGCTCAGGACAGGGAGCCTGGGAGGCCCTGGCCCAGCGGCGGCCGGCAAGGGGCTCCGGGAGGCCCCGAGGCCCCCCTGAGGGACAGCTGCTTCCCGGCATCCCGTCTGCAGGTGCGGGCCCTGAAGCGAAGGAAGGAGGGAGGGAGAGGGAGCTGAGGGAGGAGGGAGGAGAGGGGAGGGAGAGTCTTAGGGGAGCCAGCCACAGAGCGCCTGTGGGATTAGAACCCTGAGCAGCACCTAACAAACCCCACATCAACCAACACCAGGGAAAGGCACCACACGTCACAGGATTCAATGGCTCAGCTTCTCGGCGCGCACACAGACACGGGCAGGTCCACGCTGTCCTCTGAAACCCTGAAACCAGCCCCTGGGGGACACGGCTCTGCCGCTCTCCCGTCCACTGTCTCCATGGCGACGTCACCCCAGGGGGTCAGCACCGCCGTGCCCGGCACAGGCGAGGCCCCAGCGGACTCCTCACACGCCAGTCACACGCGTGTGGTGGGAGAGGAGTGTGGCGAGACACGCACGGACGCCTCTGGTGCCTGCGTCACCAGCCAACACAATCACACCACATCAGACCGAGCCGTAACGACGCCTGTGAGATTCCGTCATCTGAACGGGAGACACTGTGGCTTAAAATCACAGCTACTGCCCAGCCGGTGTGGCTCGGCGGGCGAGCGCAGACCCACCAGCCAAGGGGTCACGGTTCGATTGCCGGTTGACCATGCCTGGGTTCAGGGCTCGGTCCCCAGCGTGGGACGCGCAGGAGGCAGCGGATCAGTGATTCTTTCTCATCATTGATGCTTCTATCTCTCCGTCCCTCTCCCTGCCTCTCTCTCTAAACGATCAGTAAGAACCTATTAAGCACAAATGAAGCCAGAGGCTGTGTGAAGGCACAGGTTGAATGTAGAGCCTCCCCCAAAAAGAGCAGAGCTCCCAGCGTGGCCTGGCGTCTGGCCGCCCGGAGACTGGTGAGGCACTGCCCGGCCAGCGAGAGCATCTGAAATCCACCCAGAGTCCCGACAGGAGCCAGGCTGCCTGTGAGGCAACAGGCAAGGCCCGTGGTAGGCAAACTGCGGCTCGCAAGCCACATGCGGCTCTGTTGACGAATGAGTTTGCCCGACCCCTGGGACAGGGGCTTCATCGCATGGAACAACAACGGCCTGTAATTACTGGAATCCAGAGTCTAGGTCAGAGATGGGCAAGCTCGTTAGTCAACAGAGCGGCAAACAGCGGCTTGTGAGCCGCATGAGGCTTGAGAGCCGCAGTTTGCCGACCACTGGGTCAGACCAAGGTTACAAGACCTGGCTCAGGAAAGCACCCTCGGCTCTCCGCACGCCCACCCCACCCCCCACCCCCGTGACCTCTCCGGTGAAAGGCCTCCGGGTGAAACAGCTCGCGTGTGCCTCTCAGAGCCAGCTTAGCGACTCTGTACCCCAGACTGCTCTGCCACGTCAGGCCTACCCTCTCCTCGTCCCCCGCGTGGGCCTCTGGGGCTCAGGGTCCGCTCCGCACGCCCAGTTCTCCCTCTGCCCCCGGGCGCCTTAGCAGGAGGAGCCGAGAACAAGACCTGCTCCAGATGGGTTCTGCAGGGAATTGCTACCGTTTTAAAAATGAACCAGTCAATGCAAAATGTCACGGGAGGCTAGATGCCTCCATTTTCAACACACACACACACACACACACACACACAAAATATAGAAGTCATTCTAATCTGATTCTACCTAAAAAAAGTCTTACCAGGACTTTAAAATAGTGCGGTAGGAAATGTTTCTCTTCGTCACAGTTACCGGACAGCTAGCAGGCCGGTTTCCTAATACATACAGAGCCAGGGTCCGTCACGCCCTAAATGACCGGATGGCCGAACCCCAGGCGAGGGTCCCGCGGCCGCTCCCCCGCATGAGGTGGCCCTGACTGGCAAGCAGGCTGAACTGCGGACCCCTCGGGCCCTCGGCCTCCGATCGATCAATTGATCGATCGATCGCAGCACGGCGAGCAGGGAACCACAGTGAGCGAGCAGCACGCGGGCCGGGGAGCGGGCGGAACGGCCACCTCTTGGTCCCTCCCCCAGGAGCCATCTGTGACGAGGGACCGCGGAGAAGCAAGGGGTGGTGGTGGGGACTGGCAAGTGGCAGGAGGTGGCGTGGGGACCCTCACCGCGCACGGTGTGGTGTGCGCTGGGCCTCTCGTTAAACATAAGAGTCACCGGCCCAGTGAGGCCCCGGCGCGGGGCCATCCTCGCGCTCCCCGTGGCCTCCTCGGCCGCGGGGGCAACGCCAGGACGGACACGCCGCCCGCCGCCGCTCAGCGAGGGCCGGACAGGCCAAGCGCCTGGACCTCAGCCTCCATCGGCAGCGCCTTCTCCACACGTGGGCCGAGGACACGCGTCTCCTGGGAAACGGGGCTGTGGTCAAACGAGCGGAAACGGCCGCACACGATTCCTCACGGGCCACGTGGGCACCGGCGCGTCCGAGGCCCTGGCAGGCCTGCTGCCCTCGGCGTCGGCGGAGCCGGCCTGAGGTCCCCTTCCTGAGCAGCTCAGGGACGCACCGAAGCTGGGCCGGTCTCTCTGCGCCAGGAGCACTCCGGGCCGGCCTCCGTGCGCCAGGAGCACTCCGGGCCGGCCTCCGTGCGCCAGGAGCAACCCCGGGCCGGCCTCCGTGCGCCAGGAGCACTCCGGGCCGGTCTCTCTGCACCAGGAGCACTCCGGGCCGGTCTCTCTGCACCAGGAGCACTCCGGGCCGGCTCTTTGCGCCAGGAGCACAGTCTCTCTGCGCCAGGAGCATGCCGGGCCGGCCTCCGTGCGCCAGGAGCACTCCGGGCCGGTCTCTCTGCGCCAGGAGCACTCCGGGCCGGTCTCTCTGCGCCAGGAGCACTCCGGGCCGGTCTCTCTGCGCCAGGAGCACTCCGGGCCGGTCTCTCTGCGCCCCTCTCTGCGCCAGGAGCACTCCGGGCCGGTCTCTCTGCGCCAGGAGCACTCCGGCCGGTCTCTCTGCGCCAGGAGCACTCCGGGCCGGTCTCTCTGCGCCAGGAGCACTCCGGGCCGGCCTCCGTGCGCCAGGAGCACGCCAGGCCGGTCTCTCTGCGCCAGGAGCACTCCGGGCCGGCCTCCGTGCGCCAGGAGCACGCCGGGCCGGTCTCTCTGCGCCAGGAGCACGCCGGGCCGGCCTCCGTGCGCCAGGAGCACTCCGGGCCGGTCTCTCTGCGCCAGGAGCACGCCGGGCCGGCCTCCGTGCGCCAGGAGCACGCCAGGCCAGCCTCCCGGCGCCTGTGCTGGCACCAGTGCAGCCTCCGGACCAGCACGGGCTCTGGGCTGAGAGGACGCGGTGCCGTGCTGACAGGCCCCCGACGGCCAGCACAGGCCCCTTGTCCCGGGGGCAGGTCTTCCCTGGAGGCAGTGGCGGTGGCAGGCCCAGCACTCGGCTGCAGCAGGACACACAGCAGGCTGGCCCGGGGGACGGTGCTCTCCTTCGGTGCCGCCCTCTCCCTGCACCTGGGTCTTCTCCACGGCAACGTCCCCTGGGCTACTGACCACGCCCTGGTCCTGAGTGACACGCAGGGGCGGGCACAGGGGCAGGGGCAGGGAGTGGGGGCAGGGACAGGGCCAGGGCAGAGGAAGGGGGTGGGGCCGGGGCTGGGGCAGGGCCAGGGCCAGGGTCCGGGGCAGGGCCAGGGGCAGGGCACTCCGGCGGCTGCTCCTCCAGGGAAGAGTCCCCCAGGCTGTACTGCTCTTCATGCAGACGCGTTTCCTCCGGCGACAAGTGACTCCCCCCGAGGACGAAGTCTGCAAACCTGTGCGGCATTGGTGTGTGTGCTTTAAGGCCAGGCGGGGACCAGGGGGAGGGTTACTGGGAAGAGAGCGGTTCCCTTGCTGGTGTCCTCGGTGACGTGCACGCAGCCATGAGGGCGGCCCTTACGTGGGAGGTGACCGCGGTGGCTCCTGGGTCCTCCGGGCCTCAGAGGGCAGGCGGTTCACCCAGCCCAGCGCCGCCGGGACCACCGCTCTCTCTCCCACTCCCTTCTCTCCGAGTGTGGATTCGTTCCTTGGTGAACTGTCAACACGCCCCCTCCCACCTTCCCTGAGAGCTCGGGGGTCTGCATGGAGCCCCCCTTTCCCTGAGGGCAGGGGTCTGCGTGAAGCCCGCAGGAGGGCAGCAGAGGGGACGTGCGGGCAGAAAAGCCTTGGGTAACCCCAGCATCAGTGCCCACACCTGCAGCAGCAGCAGGGCCTCAGCATACCCCCTCCGGCTCTGGCTCTGCTCCCGCCCGCCCTGTGGGAGCGCCTCCCCCGAGGGGCCAGAGGAGCCGGGCTGGTACCAGGAGGGGGCGCCTCTGGGGGCACAGACGGGCACGGACGCCCGGGGGAGGGTCTGGCCAGCCCTCAGGGCCCCCGCGGCCCTGCATCGGGGTGGCGGCACGGGCTTACTTTCCGGGCGCCCGGAGCCTGGCCACGGCCTGCCAGGACGGGAAGCCGGGCCGGCGGCACGCCTGGCGCAGCTCCTCCAGCGCGCGGGCGGTCTCGGCGGCGGCCTGCTCCCGGAACTCCTCCTCGCTCAGGTACCGGAACGCCGGCCCCCGGGGCGGCAGCCACCTCCGCACCCTCCTAGGACAGCGCAGTCAGCGGCCGTTCACCCGGCTCCGCCCGCGGGGCCTGGCTCTCCACTCCTGGGGTCCCGCTGCACGTGCTAAGCATGCGACGAGCTTCCGTGGCGCGGAGAACACGCAGCGCTGGCAGGCCTCCGTCTCCTCTCTGAGCACCGCACACACACACACACACACACACACACACACGCACACCCCGGACCATCCTAACGGGACCTCACACCCCCCTGTGGCCTCTGAGGGCAGTGCCCAGAGATGTCAGGGCATCTTTCTTCCCGGGACCGAGCGGCACAGCGGACAGCCCGGCCGGCCTCCGGGGCCGGCGGCTGCTCTCCGGGCCCGAGAGGCAGCCATGAGGCGCCTGTGCAGACCCCGCCCGCTCAGCCTCCGGCCCGGAGGCGGGGTCTCTGCCGGCCTCCGCGGGCGCAGTGACCCCCAGAGGGAGTGCCCGGGCGGAGGCCGGTCATTAACGCCTCTGGCTCTCCGTGCTCACGCCGTGACCAGCAGTGCTTCCGCACAGGGAGTGCTACAGGGAGGCCCTAGTCCCAGTGCTGACGACGATGAATGAGGTCTCAGTGTCATTACTCGTGAGTGAGCTTCAACACGGTCCGGGCCGGCCAAGCCGGTGTGGCTCCGTGGACAGAGCGTCAGCCTGCGGACTGAAAGGTCCCGGGTTCGATTCCGGTCAAGGGCATGTACCTTGGTTGTGGGCATATCCCCAGTGGGGAGTGTGCAGGAGGCAGCTGATGGATGTTTCTCTCTCATGGATGTTTCTATCTCGCTCCTTTCCTCTCTGTAAAAAAAGCAACAAGACTATATTAAAAAATAAATAAAATATATTAAAAAAATAAAGTGAAGCGTTCGGGGCCGTTCACACTGTAACGCACCCGAGAGCCCCCAGGAGCGAGCATGGCAGCACAGCGGGTCCGAGTGCACTTTCTGGGGGGCTGTGTAGATCCTGGTGGCTGAGGTGCCAGGCGGGGGACGCTGGCAGGCCTCCGTCTCCTCTCTGAGCACCGCACACACACACACACACACACACACACACACCCCGGCCTCCGAGGAGGAGACGGCACGGGCGCCCGAGGCCCACCCTGGAGACCGGGCACCTCCTTCCCCAGGGGAGCCCGCCCCCGCCCCCTCACGGACAAACCTGCAGCCGCGCACCCTCCCCGAGGCCCGGGCTGAGGAGACAGACCGCCCAGGCAGTGCCAGCACGGCCAGCGCCCATCTAGTGCTCAGCGGGCGCAGTGACGGACCGCGGTCTGCGTTACAAACAGGAGCTCCAGCGGTCCTCGGAGAGCCAGGAGCACCCAGCCCCAGGGCCAGCTCCTCCGGGGAGCTCGAGCTCTCCATGCCGAGCGGCAGGCCTGCACTCGCACCTCGTGTGTGATAGCGTGACAGTGCGTGACAGCGTGTGTGACAGCGTGACAGTGTGTGACAGCGTGTGTGACAGCGTGACAGTGTGTGACAGCGTGTGTGACAGCGTGACAGCGTGTGACCGTGTGACAGCGTGTGACAGCGTGTGACAGCGTGTGACAGCGTGACAGCGCGTGACAGTGCGCGACCGTGCGCGCCTCGGTCTCCATGAACACGCGCAGGGCAGATGCCTCAGCCATGCAGGACATGCAGGCAGGCGCTCAGCTCACGCGGTGACAGACGGGCGGCCCCAGCGCCGCCTCAGCAGTCACGCAGCTGCTGAGCTTCCAGAGCCGCAGCTCGCCTGACCCCGAGAAGAGAAAGCCCACGTGCCACCCACTCCCGCCCCTGAGGACGCGTCTCTGGCCCTAACGCTTCTCTCACAGGCACACGGATGCCCCAGCAGGTCTGGCTTTAATGCCAGGACGCGCACGTGAGAGCAGACACCAGGACCCGAGCCCGGGCCTTCGGCACTAATCGGGGGGAGTGGGGTCTGCTGCCCCCGTGGGCGGGAGCCTCGGACAGCAGCGAGGTGCAGCCTCAGGCTTGTTCCCCACCCCCCTCCCCCCCCCCGCCGGAGGAACGCTCCGGTGAAACGCGGTCCATCATGAGACCAAACACGCCATGTCCAAACACCCCGGCCATCACCGAGCCAGGTGCACGAGGAGAGGGAAGCCCACACACATACCTGAGCGCCCCCGCCAGGCAGCGCAGCGCGCGGGGCAGCAGCTCGAGGCCCGCGGCCGCCCAGACAGCCTGGGGCGCGGGGGCGCCGCAGAGGGTCAGCGCCAGGGCCAGCAGCCGCAGCGCCCAAGCCAGGAGGCGCTGGCCCCTCTCCATGGCCAGGCGCCCGCGTCTGTAACAGGCGGCAAAGCTGAGGGCCCCGACGGCCAGCACGTAGCCTGCGGGAGCAGAAGGAGGCAGCTGTCTCACTCTGATCGTGAAAATCCACGGCAAAACCGCAGAGGTCTGGCTGGCAGCGCCGGGGTGGAGCGTTGACCTGCGAACCAGGAGATCAGGGTTCGATTCCCGGTCAGGGCACAGGCCCGGGATGCGGGCTCCATCCCATGTGGGGCGTGCAGGAGGCAGCTACTCACTGACTCTCTCATCATTGATGTTTCTCTCTCTACCTCTCCCTTCCTCCCTGACATCAATAAAAACATAAAAAGGAAAAAACGACCTAGCCTTGGCTGAGAGCTAAGAACATACCAGGAAACCTCCACTTTCGTTTTCTTTCCCCGATGAAGGGACGTGGGAAAAGGCATCTGTGGCTGTTACTCCCTCACGTGAGATTATGAGTTATCACTCTCGGTGAAGCGAGGGTGCAGAGTTGTCAGTGATTAGAACACGTGTCTAGTTGTCAGCCCAGAGTCCTAGCCCCGTGGCTGGCAAACTGCGGCTCGCGAGCCACATGCGGCTCTTTGGTCCCCTGAGTGTGGCTCTTCCACAAAATACCACGGCCTGGGCAAGTCTAGGTTGAAGTGGCGTTAGAAGAAGTTTAAGTTTTAAAAAATGTGGCTCCCAAAAGAAACGTCCACCGTTGTCCTGTTGGTATTTGGCTCTGTGGACGCAGGAGTTTGATGACCGCTGTAGACCTAGGACGAACGTCGGGGGAAGCCTCAGCGGAGGTCACAGCTGCAAACCCGGCTTTTTATTTCCACACTCCGTTCAGGAGAGGAACGTGTCACCTTACATCGGGGGGCGGGGAAGTGGGGGCAATCAGGCTGCGCCCTCACAACCAGGCCCGGACTCAGCTGACAAGATGCTCTGGGTCTGGGCGGCAGCGCGCACCGGGCCTGTGCGGCCACCGGGGGGTGCGGTTTGCGTCTGAGCAGGACACGCAGGCGGGAGAGCCGCCCGGCTGACTGTACACAGGGGTAGCCGGAGAAATCCTAAACGGACACTGTGGCCACTCAGGAACCACCGTGCCGGCACTCAACCTGGGGACAGAGAGCCTCAGGGGCAGGACGCACACGGAATGGGATGCTGGGCGGCATCTCGGCGGATGCAGCAGCACCGAGGCTGTGCGGGGCGCGGACACGTGGCCTGGGGAATCGGTGACTTTGTGATTGCCAATTATTATTTTTTAGACTTGACACCTACTGGATTATAGAGGAAGATGCTCTTGGTTTTTAGAGATGCTTAGTGAAGGGTTTGGGGGACCATACCATGAAGTGGGGGATTTACTTTAAAAAACACCCTAGCCTAAGGAGAAACATGAACTAAAAACATAGATCTAGCACGAAACAGAACACGAATTGCTTTTGATGGGGGGCATAAATGTGAGTGAGGAGGCTGGGGCAGGTGCCAGAGGGAGCCAGCCCTCCCGTCCCACCATCTCCCGGTTACCCCGTGAGGAGCAGCTGGCGTTTGGCCCCCGAGGCCTCCCCGGTTCCGGACAGTCGGGTTTTCATACACTGAGGACGGCTCTCCTTCCGTGCTGGGTGCGTCCACACCCAAAGAGCCACATTTCAGAGAAACTTCTTCACTACAAGTCACATGTGGTCAGAGCGTCTGTAGTCAAAAGGGGAAAATCATTTCTGCTCTTTTGTACATTAGGACAGACCAGCGGTCGGCAAACTCATTAGTCCACAGAGCCAAGCATCAACAGGACAACGATGGAAATTTCTTTTGAGAGCCGAAAACCGACTTCTGAGCACGGGCTGCGAAGTTCCCATCACACCGTACGTGCGCGCCCGCACGTGGTATTTTGTGGAAGAGCCACAGTCAAGGGGCCAAAGAGCCGCATGTGGCTCTCGAGCCGCAGTTTGCCGACCCCTGGGATAGACACCTGAGAAGGATGTCTTTCACACGGGAAAGGTATGAAATGAGATCGAGCAATGAACTGAAGTCACCAACCATGGGAATAAATAAAATGCGGTTTTGTGTGGCGCTGCTTAGTTCCAAATGAAAACCCAGGGCCGGAATCATTTGCCAAGAGAAGGCCTCCCGTGGTGCTTTCCAGCCTCCCCAATAACAGAATGTATCTTTTCTTTTTTTAAATAAAATATATTTAAAATATTAAATATATTTAATATGTATTTTATTGTGTTTTTGTTTTGTTTTTGTTTTGCAGAGAGGAAGGGAGAGGGACAGAGAGTTAGAATCATCCATCAGCTGCCTCCTGCACACCCCCTACTGGGGATGTGCCCCCAACCAAGGTACACGCCCTTGGCCGGAATTGAACCGGGGACCCTTCAGTCTGCAGGCCGACGCTCTATCCACGGAGCCACACCGGTCAGGGCTAGAAGGCATCTGAAAAACGTTACCTACCTACGACACACATCCTGTGCTCACCCCACAGCCACGGCAGGTGCTCCACCCCCAGGCACACCGCATACACGGAGGCAAGCCAGCCAACAACCAGGAGCGCCCCGAAGGTGCTGCACTGCATGTGGGGAGAGCAAACGCACAGGCTCGGTCACTCGCTCCCGGACAGAGCCAGCCCCTGTACGACGTCCTCTCCCAAACCGCCTGCCGCCAGCTCGGCCCGGTCTGGGGCAGGCGCGGCCGGCCCAGCGGCCAGGCCCAGGCCCGGAGCCACGCGGCAGGGCCTGGGAACAAGCCTCTCCAGTGACGCCGCCGCCGCGCCTTTGAGCAGAGGAAGGGCCACCTCCTCATCGTGAGCTGATGTCCGGTCTCCTCGCTCCGCTCTGGGGAGCTAATGACACGGCCGCCATCACAGCGCGGGCGGCCTGCCGGGATCAGAGACTCAGCATGGAGCGCCCCTGTCACCCCGGGGAAACCATCGCCTGGAGAGCGAAGGCCTGCGAAGAGGCGCCGGCGGGACGTGCTGTGACCGGACGGCAGTAACTAAACAGGCTCCAGGCGCGTCGTCCGGCCAGCCTGTGCCCGCAGAGACGCCGCTTGGACTGGGAGCCACAATAATCAATGAGTCATCTGACCCCGCTCTGTGCCCACCAACCCGCCCCCACGGCACATGACACGTGGCACACGGCTCATGGCACACGGCACGTAGCTCACAGCACGTGGCTCACAGCTCATGGCACACGGCTCACACACACGGCACATGGCACACAGCTCACAACACGTGGCACACGGCTCATGGCACACAGCACGTGGCTCACAGCTCATGGCACACGGCTCACGGCTCACACACACGGCACATGGCACACAGCTCACAACACGTGGCACACGGCTCACGGCGCACGGCACACAGCTCACAACACGTGGCTCACAGCTCATGGCACACGGCTCACAGCTCACAACACGTGGCTCACAGCTCATGGCACACGGCTCACGGCTCACACACACGGCACATGGCACACAGCTCACAACACGTGGCACACGGCTCACGGCGCACGGCACACCGACCTTGGGGATGGCCCTCCGCGCCAGCAGCAGCAGGAAGACCGGAGTCATCAGGACGCCCAGCGCGGTCCCCGCGGAGTAGTAGAAGGCAGGGCTTCTGTCACGACAAGCACACGGCGTGTCAGCGCCACGCTGTTCGCACGGGAAGCACGTCTAACGCGGCGACGACGGGAGAGGAAAGCTCGGGCGGCGGCTCCCATGACGTCTGTGCTCTCACAACACGTAAGCTCTGCCCGAAATGCACGGCGAGGTGCTTGCCACCAACTCAGAACACAACGTGTGCGCGACCTTTGCTCCCCATGGGCGCCCCGGTGGGCGGCGGGCGGCGGGCGGTGCCAGGGCCTCAGCCTCCGCGCTGGCCGGCTCAGCAAACCCCTCCCGCAGCTGTGCCCGCCCCGCGGCCGCGGCCAGGTCCCCACGGGTGAGGCCCCGGAGGCTCAGGCTGAGCCGCGTGAGGGACAGCGCTGAGCAGTGCAGGCCTGGAGAGATCCTCCTCACCAGCCAGGCCGTGGCAGCAGAAGGCCGGGGAGAGGAGCCAGGGCGGGTCTGTCCGCCCTCCCCTCCCCTCCTCTCATCTCCTCCCCTTCCCTCCCCTCCCCTCCTCCCCTCTCTTCCCTCCCCTCCCCTCCCCTCCCCTCCTCCCCTCCCTTCTCTCCCCTCCCCTCCCCTCCCCTCCTCCCCTCCCTTCTCTCCCCTCCTCTCCTCTCCCCTCCTCCTTTCTTCACCTCTCCTCCCTCCCTCCCCTCCCCTCCCCTCCCCTCCTCCCCTCCCTTCTCTCCCCTCCTCTCCTCTCCCCTCCTCCTTTCTTCGCCTCTCTCCCTCCCTCCCCTCCCTCCCCTCCCCTCCTCCCCTCCCTTCTCTCCCCTCCTCTCCTCTCCCCCTCCTCCTTTCTTTCGCCTCTCCTCCCTCCCTTCCCTTCCCTCCCCTCCTCCCCTCCCTCCCTTCGCTCCCCTCCCCTCCTCCCTCCCCTCCCCTCCCCTCCCCTCCCCTCCCCTCCCCTCCCCTCCCCTCCCCTCCTCCCCTCCCTTCGCTCCCCTCCCCTCCCCTCCTCCCCTCCCCTCCCCGGACGGGCACAGAGCTCCGGGACACAGGGTGCAGAGGAGCCGGTGCCATGAGCCCTGTGGCCGCACGTGGCCGTGTCCCAGCATCGCTCCGCTAACCACTGCTCCGCTGAGGCCTTCCGGGCGGAGCCTCAGGCTGCTGGCCAAGCCCGGCAGCACGACCCCACACGCGGGCCCCTCGGCAGGCCCCGGTGCCCCCGGTGCCGCCCGGTGCCGCCCCGTGCTTACCGGCTCAGGCGCACCGCGGAGCGCAGGAGGGCGAGGCCGGCCGCGAACCGGAGGATGAGCCCGAGGTCCAGGGCTGGAGCGGGGAGCGCAGTCAGCGCGGAGGGCGGGCGGGCGGGGGCCCCTCCCCGTGTCCCTCCCGTGTCCCTCCCGTGTCCCGGGCGGCAGCGGGAGGCCGGCGGGCGCACTCACCGCGGCTCCCCACGCGCACGGAGTGCGGGCCGGCAGGCCGCACGGAGAAGCACACGGTGCCCTGGTGCGGGCGGACGTGCACGGCCGCCTCCGGGGCCTCGGGCGGGATCCGGGGCGCGTGGAGCGCGCACCAGACGGCGGCCAGCGGGGTGTCCGGGTCCCGGCAGCAGGGGGGGTCCGTGATGTACGCCAGGCGCAGCGGCTCGGCCCCGGCGACCTCCACCTGCGAACGGCAGCCACGTGGACACGGCCGGCGGCCGAGCCCCCGCAGGGCGGCCGACACGTGGACGGGCTGGCGGGGGACAGGCACCCACACGGGGAGTGAGCGTTGGTTCTGAGCTGTGGCTGACTCACCCCTTCCTCCAGCTGGTGATGGGGGCTAACCCAGGGCCACGTAGCAAAGGCGGGACAGAGGCGTAGGCGGCCAGCTGGTACGAACCGGTCAGGAGAGGGTGGCCTCTGCCATCGTCCTCGGGACACATGGACACACTGTCCCGGGGACGGCAGGGGTCACCCTCTCCTGACGGGTTCACACCAGCTGGCCATCGCTCCCTGGTCTCTCTCCACTGGCGCCCGCGAGGCCGGCGGGCTGGCTTCCAGCTCCCAGAGCCGCCCCACCGCGTCCCCACTGCCTGTCCCACCATCTGCACAAGAACGTCCACCGGGGCCCACGACTGACCTACGTCAACCCCCCACGGCTTCCCACGGACCGTACCAAACCCACTCCCCTCCGGACCTGCTCTCTCGCCGCCCTCTGGCTGCCCACCTACCCCTCCGCCCTCCGCCGGCTGCCCGGCCCCCCTCCGGCCTCCAGCGCCTTTTCCTCCTCGCTGTGTCCTCTGAGAACTGCGCCCTGGGTCAGCTCAGCCGCAGCCCCGGGTCTGTCTCCCCACCTCCGGGGACAGAGCCCGGCTCAGGGCCGCACCGGCCACAGCCCCGGGTCTCCCCCCGCCTCCGGCTCAGGGCCGCACCGGCCACAGCCCCGGGTCTCCCCCGCCTCCGGCTCAGGGCCGCACCGGCCACAGCCCCGGGTCTCCCCCCGCCTCCGGCTCAGGGCCGCACCGGCCACAGCCCCGGGTCTGTCTTCCCTGCCTCCGGCTCAGGGCCGCACCGGCCACAGCCCCGGGTGGCAGCCTCGTCTGCCCGTTTCTCCTCTGCCCAGGGCTGGGCGGAGCCCGAAGGGGGCATGGCCACCAGCTCTGAGCCCCAAGCATCGGTGGCATCGCCCGCTGCTGCCTCCCCTCCTGGTGGGCTCGGCCCCTGCACCCATGGCTGTGCTCTCTCCAGTGCCACCTGCTGGTGCCACCACACACAGTGCCCTCACCGAGCCCCTTCCTGTAGGCTGGCCTCCCGTTCTCCGAGCGCCTCTGGAGGCTTGGCCCCTCCCCCAGCCACCCTCCACGAATCGCTCCCACGGCCACACACTGGGCCCTGTCAGCCCCCACGCAGGCCTCTGTCACCGGCGGCTGCCCCCACCGCCTGGCCGACCCCTGTCCTCCCAGCATGCCGCTGTTGCTGCACCAGCAAGCCCTGGACCCACCATGCCCCTCGCCCTGATGAACCTGTGTGTCCAGCTCAATTCCAAGGCGTCATGAGCAGCCGTTCCCTCCAGGTCCCCTCCTTGTTCTCACGCCCGGCTGTGAAGGCCAGCCCCGCCCTGGTGCCGCCTGCTCTGCGGCCGAAGCACACGGGCTCGCCCTGCCCCGTCCAGGGCCACGCGGGCATCAGAGCACACGTCAGACACGGCCACGGGCAGGGCAGGGGGCCTTCGGCAACGCTTTCAGCAATAAAGACGCATTTTAAAAACAAGCAAAACACATATCTTCACTTTTAAAAATAAACATAAAGCCGTGATCTTCTTTAAGGAGCTTGACTCGAAGCCAGAGGAAACAAACCAACCCCCGGTTGTAAGGTAAGGTTTAAGAGTGCGCGCTTACCTTGACGGTGGACCACAGGTACTCCCACTCGAGCTGGGGGTGCTGACGGTAGCAGTAACAGTGCGACGTGGAGGTTTGAATGACGTCCATCTCCTGCAGAGCTCTGCACCGCAGAACTGGGGGTGCAAAAGAAAACACATCTCCTCAGTATTCAGTCCCAGAACCTCATCTTTTCTTCTTTTTTATCCACAGGGACTTGGTGGCTGCTTTTATAATCTACAACCAAAATTCTCTCTGGTAATTCAGGCAATCCGGCAGGAGACGGACCGGAGTTCCAGCCCAGGACTCCGACGGCCCTGAGGACAGGCTGCGAGCACGGAGACTGAGACAGAGAGAGGCCTGGGGAGGCCGGCGGAGAACCAGGGGGCCCCTGGAAATGGCACTGCTGCTTCTGCCGCCTCTGTCGCACCTACGGGTGGGAACGGGAAGTGCAGCTTGCGGAGCTCCAGCACGGGTTCCAGCCGCAGCCGCCTGTGGGCAGGTGTCTCCCATTGCAGGGGCCTCGGCCCTCCCTGGTCCGGCCACTAGGACGGGACCCGCTGGCCCGCAGTGAGGTCGGCAAACCCCCTCCCGGGGCACCCAGAGCGCGAAGAGGAGTGCCAGGGGCCCCTGGACACGCAACAGAAATCCTCCGCCCGGAGGGGCAGCTGCCGGGGAGAGCCGGCTGCCACTGGGGCCTGCACCCGGGCGGTGCCCTAACGAGGGGCTCGCGCCCTCTGACCCGAGTCAGACCCGGGAAACGTCTGGGAGCAGGGCCACCCCGGCCTGGCTCACCTCCCCAGCACTCGGAGGGCCTGGCACCGGCCGGGATGCCCTCCTCTCTCGGCTGCCCGGCAAGGCAGCGGCTGAGCTGTGAGTGAGCGCCGCCTCCTGGGCTCCCCGGCCCCTGGCAGGCTCTCCTGTCCTCTCAGCCACGCTGAGTGGACGCCCCGACAGCCGCCGCCGCACACTTAGTCACATCACCAAAGGGTTCGAGTCACGGTCACTTTACCCAGCGAGCTCCCTCCGCTCCGTCGGAACGCCACCCAATGACCAGCACCGCACCCGTCTGTGCACAGGCACAGCTGCCTCTGCCCTGCTTCAGCTGCTAACCTCACATCCCTCCTCTGCCGTTTGTGGGCACGCATTGCTTTTCCTCCGTGTGTAAGGCCGTGTTACAGCCTAATCACTTCATGGGATAAACATGCTCCGTCAAACTCCAGAAAGGGGCTCCTTTGTTTTGTTTTGTTTAAAACGACTTGAATATAAATCTTGGTATTTCATGTCTCCAAGAACATGCGTATTATTATATTGTAGAAACTGAAACCGAAATTAGCACATGCTAATGAGTATTCAAGCATGACTTTCCTTTCAAGCACTGGTTTTTCCTCTCCCGCAGATAAACCGGAATGCTGCTCACGCCCACGCCTGGGGATGCAGTGGAGGCCTGACCTCTTCCCAGGAGACACTGCGTGGCTTCCCGGAACCTCACCCCCCGCCTGCAAACCCCGAGCAGCCCTTCCTGTCGCCCAGACCAGCCCCAGACTTGACTTCAGAGAGGGTGACAGAGGCTGGCCTCCGCCTACATCTCCTCCGTCCCCCGATGGGGCCGTGTGCGTGTGCGTACATGCGTGTGCGTACATGCATGTGCGTGTGCATACATGTGTGTGTGTGTGTGCGCGCGCGCGCACGCACGCGCTGGAGATGGACAGTAGAACAGGAAGCCTCCTCCGATCTGTTCTGAAAGGCAGTGCCAGCTGCTTGGTGTCAGGGTTCCTCGTCAGACCCAGAGCTTCCAGAGCGGCCGCAGCCCTGGACACCGCGATCCAGGCTGCAGCGGCCTCCCCGGGGCACAGCCCGGCCTGTCCGAGCGGCGAGCGTGGCTGTCAGGCACACAAACTGCCCTTCTCTGGAGCGATGGGCTAGACTTCCTGCAAGACCCAGGCCGACGGAAGCAGGCGGGGCCGGCCTGCCTCGGCTAGCACAGCAGGGAAGTGAGCTGTTAGCACCCAATCGGGGAGCACAGAATCTGAAAAACACTGGTGTCACTGAGACATAAAAAGGCGAGGGCAGCGTGGGAAACCGTTCAGCCACAGAACATCCTCCTACTGATGAGAAAACATAGTCCATGAAGTTCACCAGCCTGGACCTGCTACAAGCGGGTGCGACAGTGACGCTGCACTGGAACCTGGCTCCGGGTGTGGGTCCAGGGCTATCACTGATAATATCCCGGCCGCTGCCATGCTCGGAAACGTCAGGTCACTAGTATACTGGTCACATTTCTTACGAGGCTTCATTTTCCCATCTGTAAAATGGGCCTATAAGCGTTACCGACCCCCCCCAGGTAGGACCACTGCGGGCATTAAATAAAATAATGCCGTTAAAACGCTGCCTAACGGTGAGGACCAAGCAAACGCCCGCTCAGTATGACCTGGTGGAAGTCCCCCCGGACCTCCCCTCGGCAGCTGCACCTCTGATCGCAGCCCCATCCTCAGACCAGGACCCGGTTTATGGGGAGGGGGGGTCCCCAGCTAAAAGTCCACCCTTGGCTGCCCCCCCTGCAGCCAGAGGCGGCTGCGCTGGGAGCCGGGGCAGGGACCCGGGCCTCTTCCTCGGGATGTGGGATGTCACGGGAAAAGGACGGGGTGAGGTCGGACTTGGGGCCCCGCACAGAGGACCCTCCGCCGCCCCCCGCAGCCCGGGCCCGAGGCCCGCCCCTCCCAGCCCCCGGGCGGAGAGGGTGCGATCACCGGCTCCGGGCGGCCACGGGGTCACGGGGTTCCGGAGCCGGGCGGGCGGGAAGTGCGGGGGGCCGAGGGCCGGGGGCCGGGGCAGAAGGGGAGCGCCCCCCCCCGCCCGGAAGGGCCCGTTACCTTCCAGCGGCGCCCCCAGCGCCTCCTTCGTGCGCCCCGCGCCCGCGGCCAGCAGCGCCCAGGCCAGCAGCCAGCACCGGCCCCCGGGCCGCATCCCGCCCGCCCGGCCGCTCCGGCCCCGGATCCCGGCCCCGGTCCCGGTCCCTCCGGCCGCTCCGCGGTGGAAGCTCGGCGGGAAGGCGAGACCCCGCCCCCGGGACCGGGGACCGGCCTCCCGGGGCACGTGGGGCCGCCGCCCGGCGGCTGGGGAGCCGGCTCCTACCCCCCGCCCGGGGCGCAGGATCCCATCCCCAGGGCCTCCCCCCGCCCGGGGCGCAGGGATCCCCATCCCCAGGGCCTCCCCCCCCCCCCGGGCCGCAGGGATCCCCATCCCAGGGCCTCCCCCCCCCCCGGGGCGCAGGGATCCCCATCCCCAGGACCTCCCCCCCCCCGGGGCGCAGGGATCCCCATCCCCAGGGCCTCCCCCCCCCCGGGGCACAGGGATCCCCATCCCCAGGGCCTCCCCCCCCCCCGGGGCGCAGGGATCCCCATCCCCAGGGCCTCCCCCCCCCGCCCCCGGGCCGCAGGGATCCCCATCCCCAGGGCCTCCCCCCCCCCCGGGGCGCAGGGATCCCCATCCCCAGGGCCCCCCCCCCCCCGGGGCGCAGGGATCCCCATCCCCAGGGCCTCCCCCCCCCCCGGGGCGCAGGGATCCCCATCCCCAGGGCCTCCCCCCCCCCCCGGGGCGCAGGGATCCCCATCCCCAGGGCCTCCCCCCCCCCCCGGGGCACAGGGATCCCCATCCCCAGGGCCTCCCCCCCCCCGGGGCACAGGGATCCCCATCCCCAGGGCCTCCCCCCCCCCCCCGGGGCGCAGGGATCCCCATCCCCAGGGCCTCCCCCCCCGCCCCCGGGCCGCAGGGATCCCCATCCCCAGGGCCTCCCCCCCCCCCGGGCGCCGGGATCCCCCTCCCCCGGGCCTCCCCCCCCCCCCGGGGCGCAGGGATCCCCATCCCCAGGGCCTCCCCTCCCCGGGGCGCAGGGATCCCCATCCCCAGGGCCTCCCTTCCCCCAGGCCTCCCGGGCTCCGGGCGGGCGGGGGAGGGGGGGGTGAGATCCCTGGGGCGGGGCCCCCATCCCCTCGACCAGTAGGAGCAGGTCCTGGGTTTCTCTTCTTGTAACTCGAAGTCGCGGGTTGGCCAGGTGGTGGCTGAAGCAGCAATGTAGGTCTGAGCTCAGAAACACGCATTTCAGCATAAAGAGGCCGGAAGAGCCCCACCAATACCACAGCCCCCCACGATTACCGCGTGCGACGAGAAGAGGAAAAGGGCCGGATCTGGCTGCCGGGGCAGGCACAGGGCCGGGGAGAGGACAGGATGGGTGCGGGTGGTCACAGGCGATCAGACCCGCAAGTTCTGACGGAGGCTCAGCACCGAGGCCCTCGTGAGCGATACCGGACGTTACATTTGGAAGCTGCTAAGAGGTCTTAACAATTCTCATAAGAAAGAAACTTTGGGAATGACGTGAGGGGGTGGATATTAACTCATTTTGATGACCATGTTGGAATATAGATATATCAAACCATTACACTGTACACCTAGAACTAATACATGTCCATTACAGCTCAGTGAAACTGGAAACATAGTATAGAACCATCAATACCATCATGATAGATTAAACAGAGAAGGAGGCCAGCGACCGGGATGGCAGGACACACACGGGCTTTTCTGGAGGGAAGGGTACCCCTGCCGGCTGCTTCCACGGAGAGGGGTGGAAGAGGGCCAGGGCCGGCGTACATGCGCCTTTAGGGACAGGGGCGGGGCTTAGGGCACTCAGCACATGCTGATTGATTAGGGACCTAGGGCCTTAGGAATCCGGAGCTTAGGGTATTTGGCAGGTGCTGATGGGTGGTTCAGAGCTCAGGAATGTCTGGCCGCAGGTGGGGTTTACGTCTGTCCATCAACTGGAGGAAGGGAGGATCTATCACGGATAATTAGCATAGAACTTGCAGCCTTGGGATATTATAATGTACTTAATAATGAACAGTACAATATTATCATGTACCTAAAACAACCTTAGGCCCTGGAACCCTTTAATGTGACTCAATGTCCACAGTAAACATTTACTAGACTAAGAGGTCATGTCCTCTTTTCTCACTCTGCTCTCCCGCTGGAGTATCTCGGAGAGCCCCATGGTGGCCATAAGCATCCTCTGCCATCGTCTCCTTCTCCCTCAAACCCTGAGCGGGATTCCTGCCCTCGCTTCACAGAAAGGCTGTGTGGCCGGCAGTTACAGCCGTGAGCAGAGCAAGGACCTGGGCCAGTACCGGTCCCCGGGGTGGACAGCCCCGCGGGCCTAGCCATGCACAGTGAGCGGCAGGCTGGGACCTCGCCCCCGGTGACCTTTCCTCCCCCTGCAGGTCCCTGGGCCTGAGGTCTGGACCACCTGACTTTCCCCCGGAGACAGCACTGGGCCTCAGGTGTGTGGCAGCTCCAGGCCCAGGAAAGCTCCAGCCCAGCTGCCTCAGGCCCGGCTGCCCTCAGGCCCAGCTGCCCTGGGTAATGCCCCCCTGGAGCGGCCAGTCAGTGGAGACCGCAGCCCTGAGAGGACTCACCTGGACAGTGCTGACTGTTGCAGCGGTCGGCAAACTCATCAGTCCACAGAGCCAAATACCAACAGGACAACGATTGACGTTTCTTTTGAGAGCCAATTTTTTTTTATAATATATATTTTATTGATTTTTCACAGAGAGAAAGAGAGAGGGATAGAGAGTTAGAAACATCAATGAGAGAGAATCATCGATCAGCTGCCTCTTGCACACCTCCTACTGGGGTGTGCCCGCAACCAAGGTACATGCCCCTGCCCGGAATCGAACCCGGGACCTTTCAGTCCACAGACCGACGCTCTATCCACTGAGCCAAACCGGTTTCGGCAAGAGAGCCAAATTTTTTTAAACTTAAACTTCTTCTAACGCCACTTCTTCAACATAGACCCTCCCAGGCCGTGGTATTTTGTGGAAGAGCCACACTCAAAGGGCCAAAGAGCCGCCTGTGGCTCAAGAGCCGCAGTTTGCTGGCCGAGGCTCAATTGAGATCTTCCTCTGGGGTGTCCCCTAACACCTCTGTCCTTAAACCCTTAGGACCAGGACCCAGTGCGCTCTTCCTCCTGGGAGCACCACCATGGCTTCCCCTCCCCTCTCCTCCCCTTCTGTTCCCTCCCCTCCCCTCCCCACCTTTCCCCTCCCCTCCCCTCCCCTCCCTTCCCCTTCTGTTCCCTCCCCTCCCCACCTCTCCCCTCCCCTCCCCTCCCCTCCCCTCCCCTTCTGTTCCCTTCCCTCCCCTCCCCTCCCCTTCTGTTCCCTCCCCTCCCCACCTTTCTCCTCCCCTCCCCTCCCCTCCCCTCCCCTCCCCACCTTTCCCCTCCCCTCCCCTCCCCTTCTGTTCCCTCCCCTCCCCTCCCCTTCCCTCCCCTCCCTTCCCCTCCCCTCCCCTCCCCTTCTGTTCCCTCCCCTCCCCTCCCCTCCCCTCCCTTCCCCTCCCCTCCCCTCCCCTCCCCTTCTGTTCCCTCCCCTCCCCTCCCCCAGCCACACTACCATTGGCTTCCTCACTCCCAAGCTCCAAGGACCTCCCTTGACCTCCACAACCTGTCTCCTAAGCCCTTTCTTTCACCGGTTCCTTTTCTGCTTCTGGTTTACCCGATAAATGTCCTCCTAAGGGCGGGCCTCGCTCTGAATTCTTTCCCAGCCAGAACCCGAGCACCCAGGTTGCTGAACCCGGGTTTGGTCTGACCCCACCGGTCAGGGTCAGACCCTGGGGCCACTCCCGCCGCTGACAATTTGCCCGGCTGCCCTCAGACCCCTGGCACCGTGCACGCACCATGCACGGCTTTTAGGAAGCGCGGGGACCTCCTGGGTGAGGAGTCTGGGAGGAATGGATTTTACACGTAAACTGACACTCTTTGAACTCTGACCCTGCAGGGTGTTTCCGGGGAAATGGCAGGGCCTGAGGTGTTCCCGCCTCCAGCACAGAGGTTTTGTTTCTTCCCCTAAACCTCAGTAATTCTGATGTCGTTTGGTTCTGGACGCACTGTCAGCGTAGGAGCCAGTTACTGACAGGAGAAACAGTCATTAATAACGGACGAAAGCGAAGGGAGCTCGGCGATCTTAAACTGGGAGGCAGCAGCAGCAACAGGGCGGCTTTCTGTCCCGTTCACTGGTGAACACGCATCCACAGTCACTCCAGGGCCGGCGAGGGGACAGGAAGTCTCCCGGGAACTGAGGGGACAGAGGACTTCCTCCCCAGGGTGAGGCAGCAGGAACTAGATGATGTCATGAAGCCTGTGGACACGCAGGGGGAGGCCCTAGCCTGGAACAAGGGGAAATTGATTGGCTCAGGACAGGAAACCCCGGAGAACTGACTGGGAGGAGGGCCCAGTCCGGGCCCGGGAACATTAGGAGTTTGGGTTGGATCCTTTGAATGGTTCTTAGTCCTTTACCAGAACCAAGAAGCTGACTGCAGGGATAGCAGGAGCCTCTGGCCCTGCTTCCAGAGCCTGCCTTCCGCCCCCTTCATCCACAACAAAATCCTGTCACCGCAAAGGAATCTGTTACGTTCACCGGCGACAGTACTATGGGAAGCGGAAATAAAACGAAACCATAAAAGATCCCAAAGGAGGCAAGAATAGAGGGAGAAAGAATGAAGAAACAAAGAAAAGATGGCAGGTTTAATCCAATCACATCAACAATTACATTAAACACAAACAAAGGACTATCCCTCAACCAAGATGCTCAGGGGAGGTACCAGAATGCCCCCGAGGGTCAGACTTTCCTCCGGGCCCTAACACAGGACCCAGATCTCCTCCTGGGGCTCACTCCTACATCCCGGACCCCAGACTATCTTGGCGGGACTGAGAAGATTATCCCGTAGCTGAGGCCTCAAACACAGAATCCAGCCTTGTATCCTGGGTGTAGTTCTCAATTTGTAACCCAGACACCATTTCCATACCCAGAAGCCCAGCTGAGGTACAAGGCTGCCCCAGGGGCCCAGACGCCCCTCTCTGGCCCCATAGGTCCTTCCAGGACTCAAAACTCCGTCAGGGGCCCAGACCTACTTCCTGGTCACAGACCATCATGGTGAGGACCTGAAGGCCATTCCTGGGACCCATACTATGAGACAGTGCCTGTTCCTTAATTGGAGTCCAAATAACCAGGCTAGGCTGACC